GGCGTCGCGGGCCGGCCGCGGCTGCTGCTGGTGCCGCTGCTGTGGGCGCTGTGGCTGGAGCGGGGCGCGCGGGGCTTCGGCGACGAGGAGGAGCGCCGCTGCGATGGCATCCGCATCGCCATGTGCCAGAACCTGGGCTACAACGTCACCAAGATGCCCAACCTGGTGGGCCACGAGCTGCAGACCGACGCGGAGCTCCAGCTCACCACCTTCACGCCGCTGATCCAGTACGGCTGCTCCAGCCAGCTGCAGGTGGGTGCCCCTCGCCTCCCTCCCCCCCGTCCCCTCGCCCGCCCTGTGTTTATGTCGGTGTTTTGCGCGGTGCGTTGCAAGCTTGGCTTCCCGGGGGTTGCAGTTGCAGGGACACGCTGCGCCTGGGCGATGGCTTTCCACCCCGCCTCGCCTTCCAGACTCTCCCCTTGGGCGGCTGAGAAGGCACAGGGCGGCTTTGCGGACGCAGTTTGCCTTTTTCCAGAAAGCCGTAACCGTGGGTGGAAGTCCCCCCGAACTTTGTGGCACTTGGCGACCGAGTCCACGTGCACAGCATGGGAGATTTCTTACGAGGAGGGACCCCGGGCTTTAACCGCGGGGTCAGTTGCGAGAGCTCCGGGGCTGAATCGCGGCTCAGCGAAGCGATCCTGTGCCTTCGCCCCAGTCGAATCCTGTCGCTCGCAATGGACTGAGACTGGAGGAGCTCTGCGCAGGATTGGTTTAAACTGGAATAAGCCTGCGTACAGTTGCCCGTGTAAATGAAGCTATACTTGGTTGCCCCGGGGCATGTACAGAGTTCTTTTGCTTTGGGAACCCGCAACCAGTTTCGTTGTACCTGTGTCCTAAATTAGGGAATGGATTTTTGCAGCTTGTTCCTCCTTGGAAATCTTGCCCTTGACCATGGGTGCCTAACTGTATAATCCTAGACATCTGAGTACTGGCTTGGGTTAGTACACAAAGGGCCCTTTGCGCTTGCTCAGAGGTGCTCTTTTCTTCTTCTTTCAGTGTGAAGCAGCGGTAAGCCAGGGCATTGCAAACAGATTGTGGGGCTGCGGTCCTAAGAACCCTTTCCTGGGGGTGGGTCCCATGGAGCAGACTGGGACTTACTTCTGAGCAGACCTGTTTAAGGATTGCAAAATCTCAGGTCAGCCCTCCTGTCCTGCAACATCAGATAGCCGCACTGGCTTCTTCCCCATTGGGGCAACAGAAGGAGGGGGGGATTTTCGCCTCCACCCCACCATCCTCTTAAAACCATTCTTCGGAGACAGGGAAATGCTAATCCGCTCCGGGGTGTTTCCAGACAGAAGGCTTGTCAGGGATCAGGCGTGTTGCTGATTCATCCAGACTGGGGGGGGGGGGAACTAACCCGTCCCAGCTAGCTACAGTGGCAGATCCGGGATGCTGGAGTGGCAGAGAGCTCGGGACCCTCCCAGAGCCGCATTCTGGTTATTCCTCCGTGCCCTTTGGTTACGACGGCACCTGCCCCTCCACTGCCTCTGCCCTATCCCACTCCGTGCCATGATGTTCCGGTGATGAGCGCCCTAACCTCGGTTTGTGGGCCCCGCTTTCCCTTTGGAATCTGCCTTCTGGTTGTTGTCAGCTACATGGGATTCCCCCCCACCCCACCCGGTTCAGCCACCGCTGGTCTGGACGGCGGAGCTGCTGATCTTCCTGGCTTCCCCAGCTCAGAGTCCCCTTCGACCAACCAGAGCCTCTCCTTGTCCTCAAGATGCACCTCCTCGGTCTTTGCAAGGATCTGCCGCTGACTCGGGATCTCTGTGTGTGACAACGTAGAACTGGTGGTGGCGGAAAGGGCCCTCAAGTCACAGATGACTTCTGGCAGCCCTGGAGGGCTCTCGCGAGGCAAGAAAGAGGTGAGCAGAGGGCGGTTTGGTTCGCCCTTGCCTACCTCTGCATAGCAACCCTGGTCTCCCATCTAAAAACTAACTGGAGCCGAACCTGCTTAACTGCTGAGATCTGACAAGATCCGGCTAGACCTGGGCTACAGGATCAGGCAACCGATAGCGTCGGTCTGGACTCGCAGTGCTCCCTCTAAGCTGAGTTAGCGTGAGCTAGCTCACAGTTGTTTAGCCTCCGGCTCACACGTTTTTGTCTTCGCTCAGGGAGGAGGGCTCCAGAGCAAACTTAATTTCTGCAGTAGCCAAATCGCTCGCTCACAACTTCAATGCCAGGAGCTCACCAAGTCGAATTTTGGCTCACAAGACTCCAAAAGCTTAGAGGGAGCATTGCTCTGTAGTATCTGCAGATGTGCTTATCTGGGCTGCTGTTGCCCCCACCCCCTTCCCTAGACTTGAAACCCTTCCCCTTGGCAGTTGCCTCCCCCCAAAGACACATAGAGAATCCCTCAAGAGTAGACACGCTGGAGTCCTGTGCGGCCAGGCAACATCGAAACTGTCCTTACACTGCCCTGTGGTTAGTGGCTGACACCTGCCGCCTCTGCTTCCCAAAGCCGCTTTGCCTCCCTCTTCTGGAAAGGGATGCTCCCCTGCATAGCCTCCTAGAAGACCCCCCACAATATTTGGTGTGCTCCTGTTCTGTGGGGGTTTTTTTTGTAATGCAGAGCATGGGATTCGGCTGCTGCAGAGAGAGAGGGGGAAATGCTGGTGACATTCGAGGGAGATCATCCGAGCCAGAGAACGTTATCCAAGGATCATGCGGCGACAGGAGTATGCGGGCTTCTTTTCGTTTTTGTATTTTTGGGGTGGGAGGGCAGATAGAGAGATCACGGAGACAGCCGGTCACGTGCCGCAGCTTTTGGAAAGAACGGCAGGTGCGTGCCTCAAAGCCACGTAGGAGATCTCTTCCAGCCCTTTCCAAAGTTGAAGTTAACTTTTGGTTCATCGTCCTGCCTTGAAAACCTCTCCCTTTCCGATCAGGGCTGTAGCCGAGATCCTCACAAGGTCGTATTTTGGTGTTTTGTTGTTGTTGTTTTAAAAACCGAGACCCTGGGCAGTTTGCTCAGTTCTCACAACGGAGGTGTGCAGAGTGATATTTCCCAGAAAACATCTATGCGACAGAGCAGCAGCTTTGGAGAGAGAGAGGGGACTGTGCGAAGGGCTAAGCAGCCGGCCTGCCACCGCAGGAACTTCCAACAGCAGACTTTTCCCCACAGGGTGTGAATCTGCAGATAAGGAACCAAGCGGCAAGAAGCATTCCAATCCAGGAGGGGCTCGAAGGAGCATATTCAAAAGATCGCCTGACAGCCCCCCCATCCCCCGGAGGTTAACTTGCACACGAAGTCCACAGCAGTTAAGAAGGATGAAGCCAAACCTTTTCGTTGCCGATTTGGCAGGTTTGCCCCTGTCCAAGAGTGCGTTCCCTCTGGCAGCTGAAGAATTTGGACTGCGGCTGCCACTGGAGAGCACACTTTGAATCGGAGTTAATAAACAAAACGAGAAACAGCTCTGCCTTAAGCACGCCAGTTATTTTCGCACCCCGGGAGGAAGAGTCTTCGCACCGAACGTCTTCGAGCACGAGAATAGAATCGCCCGACAGCAGTGGGACGGCCGCAGCGTCCGAGTTTTAGAGGACAGCCGATACGTGTATTTTTAAAAAATTCAACACGCCCACAGAAAATACATCTGAACACGTATTTTGATTGCCCGTCGGGGTAATTTGTGGCCTTGAAAATTACTTCTGTAAAACTTCCCTCCTTGACCCCTTGAAGCAGATTCTTTACCCAGTTACAGGCAACCAATAGTACAGTCCTAAGCTGCGTTCCTTCCTTACATTGAAGCCTTTTGGGTGTGACTCTGTTTAGAAGAAGAAGCAGAAGAGATTGGATTTATGCCCCGCCCTTCACTACCCAAAGGAGTCTCAGAGTGGCTTACAAACTCCTTTCCCTCCCCACAACAGACACCATGTGAGATAAGTGGGGCCGAGAGAGCTCTGAGAGAACTGCCCTTGAGAGTTCTAAAAGAACTTATAACTGACCCAAGGTCACACCAGCTGGCTGCACACGGAGGAGTGGGGAATCAAACCCGGTTCTCCCAGATTCGAGTCCGCGCTCTTAACCACTACACCAAGCTGGATGAGTAGGGCTCGGATGTGACAAACCTGGATTTGCATTTCTTTTGCCCTTCTGTCCGGAGCGATCTTGGATGGGCTTGGGCGACTGTCCCAAAATCATTGTGGCGCCAGGGATCGATGGAGGAGGACCTGCAGGAAGACCCAGGTCCAGTGCTGAGGATCTCAGGTGTTGGGGAAAGACTTTTTCCTACCTGAGAATCTGGAGGACCAATGGGAAGAGCCGAGAACACTAAGCTTCATGAAGTCATCTTCGGGGTTGGCGTGGATACGTTCATCACCCAAGGGCCAGATCAGACAATGGGTGGAGGCGTAGCATCCCCATGAAGTTTAGACCCCCCCAGAGTGCTGGCTGATAAGGAGGGGGTGGGGTGTAGCTTCCCTCAGATGGGCAGTCTAGTTTCCATTTTTCTGTTTAAATAGTCCTTTTCCTTGCACACCCCTTTATATATCAAGTGTTGGTCTAGCAATAGAAAAGAGCAAGAGTCCTGTAGCAACTTCAAGACTAACCACATTTGTGGCAGGGTAGGCACTTCCTTGACTAGTGACTCACGAAAGCTCTTACTCTGCCACAAATTTGGTTATCTTGCTCTTTTCTACCGCTTTAATATATGGATGGGAGGGCACCGGGTTAAATACACGGACCCTCTTGTTGCATTTGACTCGACCTTCAGTCCCATGTCTGTAAAATGGGCACATTAAGTGATTTGCAAAGGTTCCCAGCAGCACCAAGACTCTTCCAGCTGTCAGAATCTATTCCCCTGGCTTACCTGGTAGATGGGAGGCAGTGCTGATTTTGATCCTGGGCTTTTGAGGACTAGAAATCCAGAGGCAGCCTTACCTTGTCTCTGATGTGCCTGTCCAAGAACCGAACCTGAGTGGAATGTGCGAACTTTCAGATGGAAGCCATTCGCTTTTGCAGTGGGTTCAAAGTTAAACCAGTCTACACTTTTGGGAGAAGCCACATAGTGGCCCCGGTCACACGGAGCATTAGGCACGCTAGAGAGACGGAAGATAGGCGGATTTTCCGGGCACGATCTCACCGCCACATCTGGGAAGCGTAGAGCTCCTGTGGCTCACCCGGGGCTTCACTCCGAAGATGCGCTGTAAAAAACTAGTACCTCCGAGGTACTAGTTTCCGGAAACCGCGGGGCAAGGGCGAGCGTCAGATCACGTTTCCGGTGTTAGCTCGTGGCATCCGGCGCCCGCCCATGTCCCGTCGCGAAAACTTTTTTTTTTGTCAAGTCTCCACGGGTGCGCACAAGCACCCAACGGTGCATGCAAACACTTGGGTTAAAAAAAAACCCACAACTCCCGTGGCACCACTTCTTTGCCGCACCGCAGGAGTGAGGTATGATCGGCACCTCCCCCAACCACATGACGTCGGCGGGACGTTTGATCCGGCTGCCACGCGGTAGTTCGCTCCGGGGCAAACAGCCAGGCTTCCCCCCCGCGATATCCGGGCCGTGTGGCCCGGGGCAGTGATGCTTTTCCTGGATTTCTCCCCTTGCAGGAGAATTGGGGGGGGGGGGTGTTTCTGATTGCAAACAACTCTTTGTGTGTAACATGTCACAGAAGAAAGTTAGGCAGAGCCTTCCTTACCAGTCAATGTCTTTTCTACGTGTGAGACTTTCAGACTCTATACGTTTGGAATTTATATACTTCATTGTAGTCCACCTTTCTCCCTGGTGGCATAGATAATTCTCTATTTTATCCTCACAACAACCCTGTCAGGTAGGTTATGCTGAGAGTGTATGACGGGCCCAAGGTCACCCAGCAAGCTTTCAGGGCACGAGTAGGGATTCAAACCTGGTTCTGCCAGAGCCTAGTCCAACTCTCTAACCACTACACCACACTGTCCCTCTGTGAGAGTTCCAGTGGACAATCCCTGCACTCACAGGCGAAAGCAGTACATTTTGGAGAAAAATTCTGCTGCCTCTGTAAACTGGCCCTTAGAAAGCAAGGATTTAAGAGGGTGGTAGTATGTATTTCTAATATGCCTGGCTTGAAATGGGGTGGGGGGAGCATTTTGTGGAAAGCACATGTATTGACCAGCATTGCTGCTAGGTGTTCTGAAAGTCTTTTGGTCTTGTTCAATCTGTGAACAAGCAAGAAGACTTTCAGAGACGGTTCAAGGTATCTTTGCTACGTGCTCTTCTTGGGACGTGTGTTGGAAGAGGCCGAAAGAAAGCTTGGTTTCCTGGCGTAACCCACTGAATTCTTGTTTTGGTGCAGTGGTTAAGACGCTGAACTGCAGGCTGTGGAAGGTCAGTAGTCCAGCAGTTCAAGACCCGAGTTGCGCATGACGGAGTGAGCTCCCGTCTCTAGTTCCAGCTCCTGCCAACCTAGCAGTTCGAAAGCAAGAAATTGCAAGTAGATAAATAGGGACCACTTCGGTGGGAAGGTAACAGCGTTCCGTGTGCCTTGGTGTTTAGTCATGCCGGCCACATGACCACGGAAACGTCTTCGGACAGTGCTGGCTCTTCGGCTTTGAAACAGAAATGAGCACCGCAACCCTAGAGTCGGACTCGACTGGCTTTCGAGCAAGGGAACCTTTACCTTTACCTTTAGAATGTTTAAACAGAGGCTTGGTGGCGTTCTGACAGCAATGCTGATTCTGTGAACTGAGGCAGATCATGAGAGGGAGGGCAGGAAGGGTTGCCTCAGTTCTTCGTTCTCATGGCCCTTACTGACATTCCCAGGGAAATGCTGATGGCCACTTTGGGGTCAGGAAGCCATTTTCTCCAGGCCAGTTTAGCCAGGGATCCTGGAGGGTTTTTTTTTTGCCTGGAGCAGGGGTCACGGGGTGTGGGGGGAATGTATTTGTGAATTTCCTGTATTGTGCAGGGGGTTGATGACCCTGGAGGTACCTCCCAACTCTATGATTCTATGCTGGGCTAGAATCTGAGAGACCAGGATGGGAAACACCCCCCCCCTTTCTGCCATGGAAGCTCACTCGGTGACCAATCCCACAGTCTACCTAACAGGGTCGTTGTGAGGTTAAAACAGGGCCTGTTGTAAGCAGTGTTCCCTCTAACCTGAGTTAGTGTGAGCTAGCTCACAGTTTTTTCGCCACCGGCTCACGCATTTTTGTCTTCGCTCAGGAAGGATGGCTCCAGAGCAAATTAATTTCTGCAGTAGCCAAATCACCTGCTCACAACTTTAATGCCAGTAGCTCACAAAGTGGGATTTTGGCTCATGGGACACCACAGCTTAGAGGGAACATTGGTTGTAAGCTTCTTGGGGGGTGGGGTGGGAGAAAGCACTAAAGCAATAGACGCCTGATTGCCTCTGTCTCTTCCAGTTCTTCCTGTGTTCGGTCTACTTCCCGATGTGCACGGAGAAGATCAACATCCCGATCGGCCCCTGCGGCGGCATGTGCCTCTCGGTCAAACGGCGGTGCGAGCCGGTCCTGAAGGAATTTGGCTTCTCCTGGCCAGAGAGCCTGAACTGCAGCAAGTTCCCCCCGCAGAACGATCACAACCACATGTGCATGGAAGGCCCCGGGGACGAAGAGGTGCCCTTTCACAGCAAAGCCCCCCTGCACCCGGGAGAAGAGTGCCATGCCATGGGATCTAACTCGGACCAGTACATCTGGGTCAAGAGGAGCATGAGCTGCGTCCTCAAGTGCAGCTACGACGCCGGCCTCTACAGCCGGTGGGCCAAGGAGTTCACCGACATCTGGATGGCCGTGTGGGCCAGCCTGTGCTTCGTGTCCACCGCCTTCACCGTCCTGACCTTCCTGATCGACTCCTCTCGCTTCTCCTACCCCGAGCGCCCCATCATCTTCCTGAGCATGTGTTACAATATTTATAGCATTGCTTACATTGTCCGGCTGACCGTGGGCCGGGAAAGGATTTCCTGCGATTTTGAAGAGGCGGCAGAACCTGTTCTAATCCAGGAGGGCCTCAAGAACACAGGATGTGCCATCATTTTCTTGCTGATGTACTTTTTCGGGATGGCCAGCTCCATCTGGTGGGTGATCCTGACGCTGACGTGGTTCCTGGCGGCCGGACTCAAGTGGGGCCACGAGGCCATCGAGATGCACAGCTCCTATTTCCACATCGCCGCCTGGGCCATCCCGGCCGTGAAGACCATCGTCATCTTGATCATGAGGCTGGTTGACGCCGACGAGCTGACCGGGCTGTGCTACGTCGGCAACCGGAACCTCGATGCGCTCACGGGCTTCGTGGTGGCCCCCCTCTTCACCTACCTGGTGATCGGGACCCTCTTCATCGCCGCCGGCCTGGTGGCCTTGTTCAAAATCCGTTCCAACCTCCAGAAGGACGGGACGAAAACGGACAAGCTCGAGAGGCTGATGGTGAAAATCGGGGTCTTCTCGGTGCTCTACACCGTTCCGGCCACCTGCGTCATCGCGTGCTACTTCTACAAGATCTCCAATTGGACTATCTTCCGCAACTCGGCGGGCCTCTCCAACATGGCGGTGGAGATGCTTAAGATTTTCATGTCCCTTCTGGTGGGCATCACGTCGGGGATGTGGATCTGGTCGGCTAAGACGCTCCACACCTGGCAGAAGTGCTCGAACAGGCTGGTGAACTCGGGGAGGGTGAAGAGAGGGGAGAAAAGGGCCGACAGCTGGGCGAAACCCGGGAAAGGGAACGAGACTGTGGTATAAACTCGGAATTGGCAGCGGGCCAACGTCAGTCCTCCTCTCCCCTCCCCTCTGAGAAGGCTCGGTTGCGGATAACCCTGACAGGAATGTTGTCATGGTTTGCGTCCTGGGGGGAAAAAGGGAACTGCTTACAACATCTGTGTTCGTAACACAGTTTGGTGTGTGTCCAGCAGGTGGGGCTGGGGGCACACGAAAGAGGCCTTAAGAAGTTAGCGGCGAGGCCTCTCGAGTGCCTCGAGCGGGAGAATACCACTTCTCCTGCGAACGGAAGGCAAGAGCCCTCGGTGGCTTTAAAAAAAAGCTGTGAAACAAAAAAAATATATCGGCACCCACTTGGACTCCTGGCCGAAAGTGTCCTTGCATTTCCCAGAGCCGGGGGATTCGGCACCCGTCCAGAATAACGCAAAGTGTGCCTCCCCCCCCCCCCCCAGGTCATATTTTTAGCTGTGCCTTGCCGTGAAGGAAAGAATCCCCCAAGGGCAAATCTCTCCCTTGGCTGAGGGACCCGATCTCGTGAGCGGCCAAGGCGGCCGACTTCAGGAGACTCGGAGAAGGGGAGGGGCGGGGATCCAGTTACAGCCGTGTGTCACCTTGCCGGATCGGACCCTCCTGGTCGGTCGGTATCTAGGTTCCCTTTCTGGTATCTCTCCCTGTGTCACCACTGGGGGGGGGAGATTGGGCTTTCTGAGGCTAAATTTAGGAGTCTTTACTGTCGACGCTGACTTGACTTCGTCAAGGAAGATGAGCCGCTCCAGTTGCGGCAGGGAGCTCTGCTTCCTGGAGGCAACACTGGGGAAGGAACCTGTGTCCCCTTGACTCCGTAACTTGGGCTGCAAAGCTGTTGGCTTTAGTATCTGTGCTGTGATGCGCCCTGCGGTAGCTGTGGGCCTTGCACATAGCCCCTATCGGGAAGTGAATGGTTGTACCCAGGGGCATTGGGTAGATAATCGGGCCTCCTCCTGCCAGAGCTGACGGAGCCGTTCTGGTCAGGCTACCTAATAACAGTAAACCAAGGTGGGGCTGCGTTGCAGGGCAGAGTCACAGAGCTTCAAGTGACAAGTACCAAAGTCGTAAAAAGCCCAGTAGCACCTTTAAGACTAACAAACTTTATCGTAGCATAAGCTTTCGAGAAACACAGCTCTCTGTGTTTCTCGAAAGCTTATGCTACGATAATGTTTGTTAGTCTTAAAGGTGCTACTGGGCTTTTTACTGTTTTGCAGCAACGGAATAACATGGCCGACGCCTCTGGATTAAGTACCGAAGTAGACGCAGCTCCAGTTTTGCTGTCCAGAAATCCATTGCTGTGATAGTGTATTTAAAGCCACTCGGAATGGATATGTTGAACAGCCTCGGTTGTCGTATACCATTTGAAACTGAAAGCGTGAGACTGTATATTCAGTGCTCCCCTGCTTTTTAAAAATAAAACCTCCCTGCTTGTAGAAAACAAGCAGGTCAGGGGAAATGCTCAACTACCATCTTTGGGTGCTAGTTTTCTAAATGCAGGGCTTTTCGTTCATGTGTGCAGGGGTGCCTTGCATGCAGTTCTGTGTACTCCTCTTTTCTTTTTTTTTTTTTAAAGTTTCCCTGCCTGTAGTAAACAAGCAGGTCAGGGGGAATGCTCAACTAGCATGTTTGGGTGCTAGTTTTCTAAATGCAGGGCTTTTCTTTTCTGTGTGCCGGGGTATGCAATTCTGCATGTTCCTCTGTGATTTTTTTTTTTAGAGTCTCCCTGCCTGTAGAAAACAAGCATGTCATGGGATATGCTCAACTAGTGCCTTCAGCTGCCAGTTTTCTAAATGCAGAGATTTTATTTCTTGTATGCAGGGGCGCTCGGCATGCAGTTCTCCCATACACTGGGTTCTCCCATACTCTGGGTTCTCCCATACACTGTCTGATGTGGTACGGTCTCAGCAGAGCTGCCCCACATGAGCATTCTGAATATACCTTCCAGATCCATTTAAGCAAGTGGCTTGCTCATCATAGATTTTCAGTAGGACTTGGATAGCACCATCCACTGCAAAAACTCACATGCTTTATTCACTGAGAGCCAGTTTGGTGTAGTGGTTAGGAGCGCAGACTCTAATCTGAGAGAACCGGGTTTGATTCTCCACTCTTCCACATGCAGCTGCTGGTGTGACCTTGGGTCAGTCACAAGTTCTCCCAGAGCAGTCCTCGAAAGAGCTCTCTCAGCCCCACCTACCTCACAGGGTGACTGTTGTGGGGAGGGGGAGGGAAAAGAGATTGGAAGCCGCTCTGAGACTCCTTCAGGTAGCGAAAGGCAGGGTATAAATCCAGTTTGTTCTTCTTCCTATAGTTTTCAGTGGGCCTTTGTGCTAGAGTACCCTGGTTGATTGCACCTACCGTTCCCTTATCAGAAGAGGAGGAAGAAAGGGAAGGGTAACCCAACCTTAACTTGGCAGCCGGGTTCCACATTTTCCTTCTCAGCGTCCTGAATCTTTAGCGCGCCCCCCCCCCCAGCCTTGGCATGTGACATTTGCTATTTTCCAGACTCCTCCCAACAACAATGACGTCCTCTCTGGCCTCAACAATGTCTAAAAAAGCCCACCTCTGTTTTTATAGCCCTCCTTCCGTCTGCAACATGTGGCTAATGAGGAGAAGGGGGCGGCAAGTTTTTTCCTGACAATTGGCTTATTCAGAGCTTGCTTACTTTTTTGTGTGTTTCTCCCCCCCCCCCCCCCCGGGCCCTCCGAGTAAACTTATCTGGCCTTCCCCGAGGGACCCATTGCGTTAAAGCAATTAAGGCTTAATATATTTCACTCTGCCCCCGATTGCATCTGTGTCGACGCCAGTCTGGGGAAACCGAATGGTTCAGTTCCCTGGCAGCTTCACAGTTCACACAGATCAGTTGCATAATTTGTGTGTCAATTTCAATTAAAAGGACATTCTCCAGCCATGAGATAGGGGGTTCAGCTGACTCCCTCTGAACCAGGAGAGGGTCTGGATTGGGAGAAGAATGTGGACTTTCCCCCCTTCCTTTTCCTTTTTTTTTTTGTCTCAAGCTAAAAGGAAGAAATTTTAGAATGTCTTTTAAAGAAATCCAAAAGTGCAGCTTACTTGCAAGACGAGTTGTTGTTTTCCGAGGGAAAGGCAGCGCTCGGGTGTTGCATTAGCTTGCGACGATTACACGAACCCATGAAGCTGTTTTATACTGAATCTGGCCCTTGGTCCATCAAGGTTGGTATTGTCTGCTCAGACTGGAAGCCGCTCTCTGGGGTCTCGGGCAGAGAGAGCTCTTTCGCATCACCTCCTGCCTGGTCCTTCTAGCTGGAGATGCCAGGGATTGAACCTGGGACCTTCTGCATGCTGAGCGGATGCTGTACCGCTGAGCCACGGCCCCCCAAGGCTTAACAGAGAGGGTTGGCGATGGCAGTAACCTTTTAGCCATCGGAGGGTTAGCACAAGATGTTTTCAGGTGCATGTAAAAGAACAGAGAGGAAGCTTAAGAGCTCACTTCAGCCCAAACTCAGCAGATCTTAGAAGCTAAGCAGGGTTAGCCCTGGTTCGTACTTGGATGGGAGACCTTCGAGGGAGTCTAGTGTCTTAGGCAGAGGTCTTTCACATCACCTATGACCTGACACCACCCTCCCCCCCCGACATGGATGGTCCAGGCTGGTCCAATCTCGTCAGATCTCGGAAGCTAAGCAGGGTCAGCCCTGGTTAGTACTCAGATGAGAGACCACCAAGGAAGTCCAGGGTTGCTATGCACAGGCAGGCAATGGCAAACCACCACTTGTCATTTGCCCTGGCCTGGATGGACCAGGCTAGTTCAATATCATCAGATCTTGGAAGCTAAGCAGGGTCGGCCCTGGTTAGTACTCGGATGGGCGACCACCAAGGAACTCCAGGGTGGCTATGCAGAGGCAGGTAGTGTTTCAATTGCACATTATTTTTTAAGAGAGCAGAATCTTAATGGGACCTGCATTCATGTCCACTTGCATAAGAACATAAGAGACGCCAATGTTGGATCAGGCCAAAGGCCCATCTAGTCCAACACACTGTCACACAGTGGCCAGAAATACCAGGTGCCATCAGGAGGTCCACCAGTGGGGCCAGGACATTAGAAGCCCTCCCACTGTTGACCCCCCCCCCAGCACCAAGACGACAGAGCATCACTTGCCCCAGAGTCCCTATCTATACCTTGTGGCTAATAGCCACTGATGGACCTCTGCTCCATATGCCTATCTGATTCCCTTTTGAAGCTGTCCATGCTTGTAGCCGCCACCACTTCCCGTGGCAGTGAATTCCATGTGTTAACCACTCTTCGGGTGAAGAAGTACTTCCTTTTATTCAGTCTAACCCTAACTTGCCCTAGGGCAGGGGTGGCCACACTCGCTTAATCCAAGAGCCACACAGGACAAACATCAGATGTTTCAGAGCCGCAAGACACGAACGAATATTGCACACACATTTTTATTGAAAAATACGCAGATTTGCTTCTTTAGTGACATGAGATAAGACGGCCAAAAATAAAAACAAAAGAGGTAAAAACCAGATGTAACTTTAAATGCCTCCTCCAAGCCCCAACCACCCATCCCCCACCAGCTGGCTTGGCAAAGGTATTTAAAGAGACCGATGCCTTCTCCCAAGCCGGACCGGGGGGGGGTGGCTTTGAGAACGCATTTAAAGTTAAAGTTGCTTTCTTTCTCTGTTCCCCCACCACCACCTCAAGCCTACCCAGGGAGGGGAACAGTGGCTGGGGAAGGGAAGACCGGTCAGGGAGGCACGCCTCCCCTTCGCTTCCCCAGCCACCCTGCCGGGAGTCGCGCAGTACGTGTGAAAGAGCCGCACCTGGCTCCCGAGCCGCAGTTTGGCCACCCCCTGCCCTAAAGTGGGGTTTTTTTTACCCATATGCCTTAATAGCATGCCTTATGTACTTGGTGTGGGGCTTGATTTCAGGGGCACCAGGACATGTTCCCATACGGGGTTTTGTGACCAATGCTTGCAAAGTCCACCCCCGGCCCAGCCCCACTGAGCCCCTGTGTGGGTGTCACAATCTGTGCAGATGAAGGGGTGCTTTCAGGACACGCCTGCCCCCCCCCCGCCGCTTCGTGCCATTCCCCCGTCTGCTTCAGCTTGTGCAGTACTGAATTCTTGAACCGAGTGTGTGAAAGGCAAGCAGCGTCTCCCGAGCTTCCCTGATGAATGTGGTCCGGTCTTCACCTGCGAGAGCAACCGGGTGGCCAGCGGTGTTTTTTGCCCTCCCCTTTGGAATTGTTCAAGTGCCTCTTCCACACAGCCAGCAGGCCCCGCAAACCCTGCGCATCTGAAGGGTTGCTGCTGTCCTTGTGCCTTTTCAAGGTGCCCCAGCTGGTTGGCTCACAGTGTTGCACTGGGGTACGGTTCCTCTTCTCTCCCACAGCCTTCCGGGGCTTGTTGTGTTAGCCATGATGGCCCCGCGTGACCTGGCATTATTCTCTTTGGGATAAACAAGGTGGGGGGTTATTCCATCTCTCCCTGACAGGTGCAGTGTTCCGAACGCCAGGGAAGGACCTTGAATCTTTGTTGTTCAGTCACACAGTTGAGTCTGACTCTTTGTGACCCCATGGACCACATCACGCCAGGCCTTCCTGTCTTCTGCCATCCTCCGGAGTTTGCTTAATTTTATGTTTGTTGCCTCGATAACACTGTCTGA